TTCCCACTTTCTCCTAATTTTTTCAGGGGAAACATGCACCAACATCCACATACAGGCATTCCTCTCTTTGGAGATTTTTGTAAAAAAGAAGGTGAAGCATGAATTTTGAGTGAAACTATTGTGCAAAGCACATTTGTACAATAGAGTTACAAAGACTTTGGAAACCTGGGTTTGATTATCCACTTTTACGTTCTAGATGCATGCCTTGTACAAGACCCTTTAATGTCTCTTAAGACTTACTTTCCTTCTCTGTAAAAGGTATTACCACTGCCTACAGAATTAATCTCTTTCTCTAATGATTATATATATAAAAAATAGATATTTGTATACATATAAGCAATCACTGTCTATAGAATTATTGTATATACACATATGATCTCATAGTTATCAATTGATTAAATGAATGAATGAATAAATTAAATGAAAAATAATTAAGGAATGTAGCCTTCAAACTACGGAACATAGCACCTATGCCTTTTCTTCCCTCACCTTCATTCAAAGGTGTTATGCCACTAAGGAACTGCCAGTACGTCTTGTGATTAACATTTTCAGCGATATTGTTGATAGAAGAGACGACAAGGCCCCAAGATGTCATAGTGGTTTCAAATCTTAAAAAAAAAAGTTGTCTATGATTAACATCTCACTTTAGGTCAGGGAATAAGGGGTAAGATGAAGGGATGGAGACATTCAATTAATTAATTAGTTAATTAAGTTTTTAGAGACAAGGTGTCACTTTGTTACCCAAGCTAGTGGTGAGATCCTAGCTCATGGCAGCCTCGAAATCCTGGGCTCAAGCAATCCTCCCGCCAGGATAGAAACACTTTAAATGCTTCAGATAAATGCTTCAGACATTTTAAATGATATTCTCTATTGAGCACGACTTTATCTGATAAAGTGATCAGATTATATCAAAAGAGAAAATGCTTTAACCAGTTTACTATTGATGGGCATTTAGGTTGATTCCATTTCTTTGCTATTGTGAATCATGCTGCAATGAACATAAATGGAGGCCATTTATCCTTAGCAAACTAACACAGGAACAGAAAACCAAATACTGCATGTTCTTACTTATAAGTGGGAGCAAAATGATGAGAACACATGAATACACAGAGGTGAACAACACATACTGGGGCCTATCAGAGGGTACGGGTTGGGAGGAGGGAGAGGATCAGGAGAAATAACTAATGGGTAGTAGAATTAATACCTGGGTGGTAAAATAATCTGTACAACAAACCCCCATGACACAGTTTACCTATGTAGCAAACCTGCAAATGTACCCAAAACTTAAAATGAAAGTTAAGTAAAAACAAAAGAAAATGGGCCAGGTGTGGTGGCTCATGCCTGTAATCCCAGCACTTTGAGAGGCTGAGGAGGGCAGATTGCTTGAGCCCAGAAGTTCGAGACCAGCCTTGGCAATATGGTGAAACCCCATCTCTAACAAAAATACAAAAATTAGCCAGTATCATAACCTGATCTCAAAATAAATAAATAAATAAATAAATGAATTTTTAAAAAGCAAACATGCAAATGACTAATGAATATGAAATTACTTCACTTAGAATAAAATGAAATGAAAATGAATGGATTTTGAAAACACCTATTAATAATCAAATTTTAAAAATGTAAATTCCCCCAAATGAGTAAATAATTATATGAGTCATGGAATGAATATCCAAGATTAAATATTTGGAAGCCATGAAAATATTTGTCAATAATTTTCAGTAACACAGGAAACTACTTATGCAATAATGTTAAGTGAAAATATGAGATACAAATTTTACATGAAATATCTCTCTGTCCCATGTTATGATGGATCACATCTATTTGTAATATGCATGGAAAAAACACCTACAAAAGTTATAAAAAATATTAACAGCTGTGATATTATGTGTGGACTGTAGATGATTTTTCTTTTTTATGCTTTTTCCCTCAAAATTTCTGCTATATGTATTTATTACATTTATAATCAGAAAAAGAAAAATTAGGCAAAATTAAAGCTAAGCTCAGAGAAGTAAAGTACAGTATATTCAGAGGGTTTTAAAATTAAATATTTCTGGGCCAGACACAGTGGCTTATGCCAGTAATCCTAGCACTTTGGGAGGCTGAGGTGGATGGCTCACCGGAGGTCAGGAGTTCAAGACCAGCCTGGCCAACATGCTGAAACCCCATCTCTACCAAAAATACAAAAATTAGCAGAGCGTGGTGGTGGGTGCCTATAATCCCAGCTACTCAGGAGGCTGAGGCAGGGGAGAATCACTTGAACCCAGGAGGCGAAGTTTGCAGTGAGCCGAGATTGCGCCATTGCACTCCAGCCTGGGTGACAAGAGCAAAACTCCGTCTCAAAAAAAAAAAAAAAAAAAAAAATTAAATAGTTTTGTAGTGCAATTTTTATCCTGACCTGTCTATGGAAGTTAGGGAAGTTATGGATTCATGCAGTAAGCAGCAGACACAATGTGCTCAACAGAACCAGGTGGAATAGACCGCCACGTGGTATCACTCAGTTGTCAATTCCTTAGCCTTTGTCAGTATTCCTTCTTGATATCTTCCTGAAGAATTTGGATCATCTTTTCTTTGAAAATATCTGCTTTTTTCCTTTCCATGACTTGGCATTTTCCTCCTCTCCTCCTATAGCTTAGACTTCTCCATGTTTATTTATTGCTTCCTCTTTTTGCAAACTATAAATATTCCCTAAAAGTTAATTTTCTTATTATTAAGAAAATTAATTAAAAAATTAATTTTTTTAAATTAATTTTGTGATTTGTTTCTGTGATTTATTTCTGTATTTTCCCCTACCCTGACAGGGGCATGGAAAGAACATGAGCATCAGATTCAGTCCAACCTGGGTTCCACTCTCAACTCTTATTAGTTACGTGTTATGTGATCTTAGGAATATTGCTAACTTCTTTGGGCCTAAGGGTTCTATCTGTAAAATGAGAATAACTAAATATGTCTTATGGTTTTGCTGGGTGCATGTATCTGCTACCTACTACATGGATTCTTGACTTTGGTCATCACCTCTAAGAGATGACTGTCCAATTTTTTTCCCTGTCCTGACCTTTTTTCCTAGTACTTCCTCTATACCTCCAAAGCCTTTCTTTCTCCTTCCTTCCTTCTTTCCTTCCTTCCTTTCTTCTTTCCTTCCTTTCTTTTTTTTTTTTTTTTTTTAGACAGAATCTCACTCTCTCTCCCAGGCTGGAGTGCAGTGGCACGATCTCGGCTCACTGCAACCTCCACCTACCAGTCTCAAGCAGTTTTCCCGTCTCAGCCTCCTGGGTAGCTGGGACCACAGGCACACACCACCATGCCTGGCTAATTTTTGTATTTTTAGTAGAGACAGGGTTTCGCCATGTTGGCCAGGCTGGTCTCGAACTCCTAACCTCAAGTGATCCACCTGCCTCAGCCTCTCAAAGTGCTGTAATTATAGGCGTGAGCCACTGTGCCTGGACTATACCTCCAAAAGCCTTCTGATGTTCCTATTTCAAATGCCCACCATTAAACATATCTAAGGAATTTAATCCCTTTCTTTGAAAGATGTTCTTTCTTCTTGACCCTTTAATCAATAGTTTTGAAGCTTCTTTCTCTTGACCTCTATGTCCCATCACTCACAGAGCCTTGGTGTGGGTCTATGTATCCTAGAGGAAGTCATCGTCACTTCACAGCTCCATTATTGGAGTCATGTCCTATGTTTTAGCCTTGTCTCCAATTCTCACAACCTAAGCAACATTTTACAAAGTGGATTTTCTTACTCAAAAACTTGCTAAACAAAGTCCAATCTCCTCAACCTGGTATTTCAAGACTTTTACACTGTCACCCAACCTGGTGTGTCCACCTGGCCTATTCATTGGCCCCAAATTCCTTGCTCAGTGTTATTGCAAATGCTTTGTTTGGCCTCCCCTCCCCTCCTCTCCCCTCTCCTCCCCTCCCCTCCCCTCCCCTCCCTTTCTCTTCCTTTCCTTTCCTTTCCTTTTTTGTTTTCAGACAGAGTTTCGCTCTTGTTGTCCAGGCTGGAGTGCAATGGCGTGATCTTGGCTCACCGCAACCTCCACCTCCCGGGTTCAAGCTATTCTCTTGCCTCAGCCTCCCGAGTAGCTGGGATTACAGGCATGTGCCACTGAGCCCAGCCTGTTCTGGCCATTTCTTTTCCTGGACTTACCTCTTCCCATATCTTCCTAAATAGTACCTATTCTTTGTTGTTCAAAGCTACAAAGTCTCTTTCGCCTGTTCTACTCTGCAACGGACTTTTGAATCTCCTCTGAATTTTTGTTTTTAAAACTTCATCGTACATTGACTTGTATGATTTAAGTTTTCATGAGAGCCTTATCTATTTATTAGATTGTAAGCTGCTCAAGGGGTTATTAAATAAAAATCTGTTATCAAAAGGAAAAAAAATTAAGAAAACAGAGGATGGAGAAAAAATGGGAATTCAGATCAGGCCTGGAGAGAATGATGAATGACACTTGTAACACTCACTTGAACATAGGATTTTTGCGCTGTGCTTCTTCTAGGACAACAAGTAACACTGACCCACTTTTCACACTCACGTTGATGGTCTTGTTGAAGAGCAGCTCAACCCCCCTCAGCTGGTTATTTATGGTGTATATGACAGTGATGTTAGATGTGGAGGTGGGGCCAGGGCCAGGTTGGCTGGGTAGAGTTGGTTGTACCTCATGATCTGTGAAGGGCAAAGAGGCCACATTTGTCAAAGGTTATGGGGTTTGTGTTATAGGTTTAAAATCTCTGTTATTGGCAACTCGTCCCAGAAGACGTTTCAAGAAAGTAGTGAGTTTCATACCATTTAACAAAGTAGTTGGACCACTAGCATGGAGTTCCGGCAAAAACTCCATGGCCACCTTGCTAAGGTTGGGACATCACTGGGAAGCAACCTAAGGGGTTGAGTGAGTGTAGTAGTGTTTGGTAGGATTGGGATCAGTTTGCTTGATTTTGTCTCCACGTTCTGCATTGAGATAGACAAGAAACTTATTAATGTCTTCTTGTCTTAGGAAGTTCATGCAATGCAAGAGGAATGATGCTTTATGTTGGCATTTTATTAAAAAAAAAGAGTTCGAGGAATCCATATCAAACACTAGTAATCTCTGGAGTGGTAAGTTTTTATGCAAGACCTCCACTTTCTAAATGCATATTTCTGTAATGTTTGAATTTTAGGTGTCTTTCAATTGTATGCATAAACGGATAAAATAAAGATGTTTTTAATTAAAAGGTGGCATGCTAGGTTTCCACTCCATCTCATTGGTGTGTGGCATGCATCGAGCTTTCATAGTTAGATCTTTAAGGCTCAACTTAAACATGAATTCTGTTCTTCTCCGAAGCCGCCCAAACAAAATCAATAACTGGTCACGATTTTTCTTGTTTGCATTTGCACTGCATGGGGCTTTAACTTCTATTTCATCCTTACTTCGTTGTCCCAAATATTGTAGTTTTTGTTTACACATGCCTTCTGACTTTGCGAAAGGCAGATATGATAAGATATGCATAGTGTTTGATGGTACATGTGTCAAAGGAATAAATGAAGCTATATGTTATTTGATATTTGGGACCATGGAGCTTCTCCTACCTCTAGTATCCCACAAAATGCTTTGCACATAGTAGGAGCTGCATATATATATGCTGAATGAAGTAGATATGGGGCAGAGTTCTGAGTGCAAGAAGGTATGTCTGTGTGCTACCACACACTGTTAAGGACTGGGAGTCAGATGAGGTCTGTCCACATGGGAATAATGGACATTACAAGCCTATATGCCACTTAACATTGATCCGCATGTCATTTCTGGCATAAGTTGCTGCTTTATGACATAAGAAGAGGTGGATGTCTTACCAGGGCTACAAGTGACCTGGGGCACATCTAGGTATGTCTTGCCTTTCAGGGAAGGGAGGATTTGAGCAATGGACATGGGGTTGTGGAATTTCCCCTGCTTAATCTCATCGAGTATCATATCCATAGTCTTCATGCAGTTCCATTCCTTTTTAGGTGGCTGAGGTGTTACAGAGAGAGCCTGGGAAGGAAGAGAGAAAGAGAGAGAGAAAGAAAGAGGAATTAGGCATAGCTGAGAGTTGGCTCTTACATGTCTTAATAGACAAACTTGATCACTAATCATTGTGATCACGTTGTCACCCAGAATGCAAAGGCAGTGCTATGTAAGGTTTGGAACACATTTGTCTTCAATGCTATGTCCCCACCACTTAGCACAGTGTCTGTCAGACAGCAGACACAGAACTGTTCAATGATTAGATCCAGGGAACACTATTAGACAGTCATATTTACGAACGATTCTTGAATGTAGAGTGAGGGTGAGAGCTGGGCTCCAGAGGGAGCTTTAGTCTAGGACAAGCTGGACTCCAGAGGGAGCTTTAGTCTAGGACAATCTAGCCACATAAATGGAGTAGACCTCTTGTTTTATGTTGTCATGTGCCCTCTTTGGTGGACTTTTCCCTCACTTTGTGCTTGTGTCAGGACTGTCAGAGGCTCCACAACCCTGGCCCAGGACAGACTCATGACCGGGGCTGGGCTGATGGTGGTGCACCATCCCCTTGATGACAGTGATTGGTGGACACATGTACTAATCAGAGTCATTCCCTGACATACAGACATTGGGAGACCGAATGATTTTTTTTTTTTTCCCCTCTGCTAAGATTATTCAACTGGAACCATGCAAGTAAACAGTAAGCTGCTAGTGACCATCTTTCTCAGTCACTTTGAAGAAGCCCTGAAGCAGGAAAGAATGAGGAAAATCAGGGCTGGACGATGAAAAAAGAGTGGCCCCTAATATCATGATTTGAGCCCTTTATTCTGGTTTTTCCTGAAACCACCTAATTCAGCCCTGGACTTCCCAGTGTATGTGAATAGTAAATCCTCATTTTTTTTTTCTTGAGCTAAAAGGATTTGGGTTTCTGCTACTTGCAAAATGAGTCTTGAGTAATACACCAAGCCATTCAGCCATTTGCCTATTTTGCTGCATTATCTATCGCATGAATAAAATAGAAATAATAACTTCTGTCTATTGTTGGGGGCGTCATTTGAGGTTCCAAGGGGCTAATGTATAAAAGCATTTTGTGATGTGTGATGTGGAAGCTGTCATTCCCACCTCCCTTCCTTTACAGTGCTGATTATGGCCACCAGAGCATGTTAATAGGCTGAGATTGTTGATGACAGAATATTTTAGATTAGAAAAATGTTATATTAGACACCTATTGATTCCAGATTTCTGGATGCTCCAGATAGAGGCAGTAAACTCCAGATAGAGGCAGTAAAAAGGGTAGGGAAAGATTATATATTCTGACAAGAAATCCACATGGCTTGTGGTATTTGGATGTATACACGGTCCTGCCTTTTGATAGGAAAAGCTTTAATTCCCAGGTCCAGCTTATCAGAGTGTACTTAGCAGGTGATAAAATCCAAACAGAATTCACAAACCAAGTTAGCAAAAGTGAACACTTCCCTGTCTAGTGCTAAATTGAAGCAAGGTTATTTTTAGTGAGTCACACACACACACATAAATCCCCAAACCATCTTTTATATCTCTTCCAGACTGCCTTTTTCTTTCCAAAAAGCTTCTAGACCAGAGCACTGGAAATGCTCTTATAAAATTCAGCCATGGCAAAAACAGGGTTTTGTTCTATGACAAAGTCTCCTTGACCGTGACATATAAGTGAGCTTAATTTTTATTAGTCACTTCTATACGTGGTCCATTGAAGTGCAAATTTTGTTTTTGCTCTTACGTTTAACATGAACGAATTCTTAGGCTGCTTATATCCTTTTCTAATTTTTAATGTATGAAATCTCAATACTAGTCTCTGTTGTTTTCCCCAGGAGACAATTTCTTTCTAATAGTCCCCAACTATGTTAGATTTAGGGCTGGCATCATCATGCCATGATTCTCCCTTTCCTGGGCTTTCTGAGTTGAAGAGTCCCTGGTCCTATTAATCCCCATAGGACATTTTGAGACATTGGAGCTCAGAGTTCTTGGTTGGGATTAGAGGATTCAGCCACAGATGGCTGCTAGTTTTTGATTGTAGTTGGTTACTTCTGCCCACTATCATTGGTGCATCTGTCTTCTGTAGAGGATGCTGCCCTAATCAACTAGGGTAGGGTGGGTTGTTGGATTTGGAACTATTAACACCAAGAACATCTTACAGAATCCAAGCCTGGGAATGTATGCTATTAAAGCATAGACTTGAGTATGGACTTGGCTGCCAGATAGATCTGCTTTACCATTTACTATGGGTTTTTGTGAGGCTGGGTCAATGTTAGGTTATTTTCCTTAATCATTTTGAGTATAAACTTGCTATTTTTAGATCAAGGTAAAACACTGGGCCGGGCGTGGTGGCTCACGCCTGTAATCCCAGCACTTTGGGAGGCCGAGGCGGGCGGATCACGAGGTCAGGAGATCGAGACCATCCTGGTTAACACAGTGAAACCCCGTCTCTACTAAAAATACAAAAAATTAGCCAGGCATGGTGGCGGGCGCCTGTAGTCCCAGCTACTCAGGAGGCTGAGGCAGGAGAATGGCGTGAATCCGGGAGGTGGAGCTTGCAGTGAGCTGAGATCGCACCACTGTACTCTAGCCTGGGTGACAGTGCGAGACTCCTTCTCAAAAAATAAAAATAAAAAATAAAAAATAAAATGAAAATAAAAATAAAAAAATAAAAAAATTAAACACTGAAAAAGAACACTTGGCTGGTAACATTGCATCAGAAAATTCTATATTTTTAGAGGGCGTGCTTTAATATTCTTATTATTTATACATCAAAATTGCAATAGTCTATAATTATTACAAAAAAACTGATCATTACTAATAATAAATTAATATATTTCTTGATTTATTTGTTTCATTTTTTTTCCCAAAGAAGAGAAATGAGTTCATACAGATTTGTTTTCACACTTTACATAAGAGGTAGGGAGGAATTAACACTTACCTGCATTTTACCGGTAGAGAAACTGAGGCCCAGGCACCACAAAGAATATATCTCAGGTCATACTAGCTGGATTTTCACAGAGATGTTAGCAGAAGCCTGGCTTCTTGATTCTGCAATCCAGGCTTATTGGCAGGAACCCAACCAAGAACATCCAGCACGTGTTTACCTGCATGGCGAGGCCAGTACTGTAGATGTCTCCAATGATGCCATTATCTTTGATCTTCGTACTGATATTCTCCACAATAGCCTTTAGTACCTGACCAAACAGGGCTCTGTAACCTTCCTCTGAACCTACAGGGATCTTGTTGTACATGCAGGTCAGAGCCAACGTTGCCATTGCTCCTGTGTCTGTGAATGACAGAGGGGATAAGATCACCATAGTCACCATCACAGCAATATGAACAGCTAGCATTTATTGTGTGCTTATTGTATTCTGGCTCCATGATTTTATTTGCTCCTCAGAACAACCTGTGAAATAGTACCTGTAATCATTTAAAGGGAGATGATCCTTTTAAGAGACAAAAAATGGAGGCTCAGAAAAATTAATTGCCCAAGGCCACACAGTCAGTAAGTGCAAGGCCAAGATCTTAACCCAGATCAATACAACTCAACAGCTCATGCTTATAATTAATATAGACAGGCAGTACGTTCAATCATACAGCTCTTGTGCCAGAAAAGACAGATGCAGTCTCTATTTTAAACTCCTTTAGCATTTGTTGTTTATATATCTGTTTTACAATCTTGATGCTCTCTTTTATTTTTATTTTTTGTTACTGTGCTCTGTGAACTCTTAGATGATGGGAATTTTGCATCCACCAAAGCACCCCACAAAGGGACTTTTTCTTGTTTGCATGCAATAAACATGTGGAACAAATGAGCAAGTTCTGGGATGGCAAGACTAGAAGAAATAAAAGACTTGCCAGATATCATCTTTTATTTCATTGATCTTCCCCTCCTCACCTTAATCTCCATTTGGAAGTTGCATAACTTCATTAAGGGTGATAGTGTTATTGACAACCAGAAGGAAATAAGTCCATACTTTTGGAGGCAGAGATGCCCCAGAAATGTGTGAGGTCCCGGATGTGAAAGGGAGACCAGTCTGTTCTTGACCCCCAGGGAGGATCCTAGAGCAATGGTTCACCTGTTTGTCTGACAGGAACTGAAACAAGA